GACAGGCTTTGAGGTTTCCTATGCTCAGTATACCACCAAGTGAGACTTCCTGTGGCCTGCATATCAAGATGTAACCAGCACCACACCTGCCTGTATGATGCCATGCTGCCCACTATGATGATAATGGACTGAACCTCTGAAACTGTTATCAAATCACCCCAATTAAATGTTTTCTTTATGAGAGTTGTCATGGTCATGCTGTCCCTTCACAGCAATAAAAACCCCATGACAAGTTGGTACCAGATAGCGGGGTATGGCTATGATGGGCCTGATCATGTATGTGTTTGGAGAAATTTGGACTTTGGTACTTTGAGCCATGAAAGCAGTAGAATACTTTAAGCACCGCTTAATGGGCCATACTAGTAGGAGCATGGAAGACAGAGGTGCTAAGAATTATTTGAACTGTTGGGGGCTCACTCAAGAGGTTTCAAAGAAACATTTTAGTATGTTGTGTAGAGATTGTTCTTGTGTTATTTTGGTGAAGAAAGTGGCCGCCTTTTGCCCTTGTTCAAAGAGTCTACCTGAGGCTAAAGTGAAGAATTTTTTTATTAACTTTTGGATTAATTCTACTGGCAACGGAAATCTCAAAACAGCCTAGTATAGATTCTGTCATGTGATTTTTTAGTGACAACTCTAATAAAAATGTTTAATGATAAAAGAACAAGCTGAGCAGGGTAAATTACAAAAATGAGAATTTTGAGGAGGAAAAGAACCCCCGGAAGTGGAAGAGAACTGAAGTCTGTGTTTGAGGAGAAAAACAGATTAAGAAATGAAACAAAGGGGAAAAAAAAAGAAATGAAACAAAGGGAATGGTAACCTCAGGGCAAGACTCCCCACACACAAGCTAAATTTCCAACTTGTAAAAAGGAACTAAAGAAAATCTGAGAGCTACGTGTGGTACACACCTTTAATACCAGCACTGGGAAGGCAGAGGCAGTCAGATCTCTGAGTTTGAGGCCAGCCTGGTCCATAGAACAAGTTTCAGAACAGCCAAGCTTACTCAGCAAAGGACAGAAAGTTTTTTTGAAGATGTAATTGAGTGAGGGGGTTCTGTGGCCTGCATATCAAGATGCAGCCAACACCACATCGTCTGCATGCCACCATGCTCCCTGCCATGATGACAATAGACTGAACCTCCGAAACTGTAATTGAGCCACCCCAATTAAATGTTTTCTTTGTAAGAGTTGTCATAGCCATAGTATCTCTTCACAGCATAAAAACCCTAATTCAGACAAGCTGCTCCTTGGAAACCAGCAAGGAAACAGAGTTTACCATCCTACAACCACAAAGAACCATGTCCGTGGCTCTTTCTAGATGGAAACATTGGTTGTAGAGGAAGCCGAGAGGATCACAGGACTCATGAAATTCCCAATATTTATGAGGACCCTGCTAAGGTTTAATAATCAGTGAGAAACCCCTGGGAAGGAGACTCTTGAGTAGTCTAGCCACGCGAAGACTGAGTGGGAGCTCCATGGTGCAGTGGGTAATCACCCTTAAGAGGACAGGGGTTTGGCAATGTGGCTCCCTGAGTCATTGACGCTTCTGTACCTGACCCTTCATGCACTCCCCTGTAAGCAATCCCAAAACTCACTGATCACTCAGTGAGGCTTAGACGGAGTTATTACTTTGGTTTGGCATTCCTTTCTCTAGCTAAGGGCAATAGGAAGAGGACCCACCTCGGGGAAAGTAACACAGTAATTCCTTTTTCTTTCCCAAATGTGAATGCACTTGGAAGCAGGTTCTCCCTCAAACCTGGAGCCTCATCTGGCCCAGCACCCTGACTTTGACCTTGTTGATACACTGACCATGTAAGGCATGTATGCCTAACCTTCCTGAAAAGCTCCCTGTCTTTGATGGTGCAAAGACCTGAGTGGGCCTTCCACACAAAAACGCAATGTGTAAATGTTCAGGCATGGCTCCAGAGTCTACTGAAGGGCCTTTGGGAAACAGTTCAAAAGAGGGGAATAGCACGCGCCCACTTGTAGTCTAAATTGTGTTACAGGAATGCAATCCCAATTTGGTAGGCATGCAATAAAATGACTGCAATCTTTCCCCTCGTGTAAAGTACAATAACTAAATCTGCTAAGGAGATCTGAAAGATGCAATCCAATCCTTTCTTCTATGACCAAGGAAACTGAAACCAAGAGGAGCTACAAAACGGGAAATGCCAAATCAGTCATTTCTCCGTGGGAATGCTCTAAGACCCTGTTTCTTGTGAGTGTTCAGCCACCCCATCTATTTTTTTCCTAACTCAAAGGGCTGTGCAGACAGCTAAGAAGCACCTCCGAGGAGTTCAAAACAGTCCTTTGGAGACAAAGCCTCTGTGTCTGAGTTAAGAAGATCTAAACATTGAGAAACTGAGCACCATGGTTTCCATGGTGACTGCTGAGGAGACAGGTGCACATTCTAATGAGGCTGACTAGCCAGCCAGCACCCAGGGAGCAAAGGCTGTGGGACATTCCAGCAAAACTCACGCATACACAAAATCTGAGTGAGTGGCTAGCCTGCCAGCAACCTCTCTTCTCAGGAGGGACAGCAGCTCTGAGCTCTGTGTTTCCGGTCCTGGGTCAAGTTCTTGCCCAACCCATTATTTCATTTGGCCATCACCAAAGCTTTCTAAAGTTGATTTGTTCTCTGTAGCCATTTGCAGATGAGTATGGAGGCAGCTTTGAGGGACTGCTGGGTTTATGAACATGACTGTGACCCAGCTGTCAATCTTGTTCTCATCATCTGCTAATGAACCTCTCATGTTTCCCTTCTGAGAAGCTCCCCTGCATCAGTTGAAGGGAAAAAGAATTCAGGGTTTAAGGAACAATCTGAGAGATTCTGTCTCCGAGGGTGGGGTGTGCACTGATTTAAAACTCACCACTCACCCATCCTTATAGATTCCAAAAAGTCCTCAAAAATATCATTGTGGAAAATTATATCGTCAGAGGATGGAGAAATGGCTTTGTCTCCAAAGCGCTTGGCACACAGGCATGAGGACCCCAGTACCATCCCAGCACCCATGTAGAAAATTGGCATAGAAATGGGTGTATATAATCCCAGTACTTGGGGACCAGATACAGGAACTTGTTGGCTGACCTACCCAATTAAATCAGTGAGCTCTAAGTTCAGTGAGAAACACTGATTAAAAAAAACAAGGTGGGGATCAACCAGGGTAGAGACCTGACATTAACATCTGGTCTATACACATACACACACACACACACACACACACACGCACGCACACGCACACGCACACGCACACACACACCACACACATGCGCGCGCACGCACACACACGCACACACGCATGCACACACACACACACAGTACACAGTTAAGTTACCATAAGAAAGACTTCTCTGATGAAAGACAGAAAGACTTGAGAATGACATCAAGACTGAATAAGAACAGAGAAATAGCTAAACTAACCATGAGTTTTATGAAATAAAATGAATAGGTATAAGTTAAAGGGCATTGGCAACCTTATACCACTCATATCCATCCTACGTGCCTGCTACAGAGGTCAAATATGCCATCGTTAGAAAATAAATTCCTCATGTAGATATTATTTTTTAAGGTAAACCAATAATATTTATTTACTTATTATTATTAATAATAAATATATAACAATGATAACAAAACAGTTAATAATAAATCAGATTTTAAAATATTCTAATATATAGATATTCTATTTTGAGAATTTAACATATATTTTCTTTTTATCAAGTAGATGTTCATATAAAGAAAATAATTACTGCGGGGCGGTGGTGGCGCACAACTTTAATCCCAGCACTCGGGAGGCAGAGGCAGGCTGATCTCTGTAAGTTCGAGGCCAGGCTGGACCAATAGCCTCCAAAACAATACAGAGAAACCCTGTCTCGTAAAAAAACAAAAAAGAAAAAGAAAAGAAAAGAATTACTAAGGTGATAGCAATTCCCCACACCTTAGCATAAAGGGGAACACTGCAGTGCATTCTATCGCTGAGGGAAGGCAGAACAAGGAGAAGCAAGAGACACAAATCACAGAACAGAGAACAGAGACGGTCAGAATCCAGGATCCCCTGGAGACACTGCAGGAATAAAGCAAATGAAGGGATTCTAATAATGAAACAGATGGGCTTGCATTTCTCCACATCGTTTTCAAAACAATAAGAAAACCATCCTCCATCTTTTTCATTGTGTGTGTGTGTGTGTGTGTGTGTGTGTGTGTCCTTGCGCACACGTATGAGAACAAAGCCCATAGGTGGAAGTCAAAAAAGATGATTTGTAAGACTAGGTTCTCTCATTCTACCATGTGGGTCCTGGAGACTGAACTCAGCTTGTAGGGCTTATGGGTGCCTTCACCCACAGAACTGTCTAGCCTGTTTGCCGTCTTCCATCTTTGAGGGAAGGGAAGGTATGGTTTAAATGTGACAGGTGTTGGCTAATGCAATCTTAAAAGGCTGGGCTTTTAAAGGGGTTAAGTCATGAGGGTTCCTCCTTTACCAATGAGGTAAAAGCCCTTATAAAAGAGACATTCTGCAATGTCAAGCCATTTTTCCTTTTCATCCATCCACTCCATGAGGTCTTAGCACCCTTATCTCTAGAGACCACGGTAACAATCCCACCTCGAAAGGAGGGCTCAGCCTTTCACCAGGCACCTGAGTCCTATACATCCAGACTTGAACCTGTGGGAAATAAGCTTCTGTTGTTTATATGCCTTTCTGCCTCAGGCCTTTCATTATAGCAGCTTACACAGACTAAGACATTGAGTGTGCCAGACCTCTTGGGGAAATCTGTGTTGGTAACCCATACTTAACCTTCTTTGACCCTGGAAATACTACCAAAGGCAAAAAGTTATTCAAGAAAAAGACATTTAGGCACCGTCCTGTGCCAATCATTGGCCAAGAGATAAAACACAATCATAGCATTCAACTATTTCATTCAGACAGAGCCTTTGCTGCTGCTTCTAAACCCTATTAGACCTAAGCCAATGGATCCGGTAATGGGGGTTAAAATTGGTGCAGTACTCACTCGAAAAACCTTTTCCACTCTTGCAATGCTTTTGCCAAAGATGGTTCCAAGTTGGTCTCCAATTCCAGCCAATAAGAAACCAAAGAGTGGGATCCCAAAGATGGCATATAATATACAAAAGATTTTGCCTCCTTCGGTGCTTGGAGCAATATTCCCATACCCTGGGGAGAAAGAGTAGAGAGAAAACGAGGGAAAGCAGTGAGCGGCAGAGAAAGTAGAGCACAGACCAAAGAATCCTCAGAATTCATGTTCTCCAGAGCCCTTTACAAAACAGTGTCCCTTGCTTCTCTCTCCTAATAAAATATCTCCAGGTTTCTGAGAACTTAATACACTTAAGAAATGTATGGTCGGCCTGACTTGCATTTCTGATGGAAAATTGATACTTTTCTCTTAAGAAGTATCACACATCATGGTCATGATTGAACATGTTTCATCAAAAGTTTCACCTTTGCTTATGTAGACAAAATATAGACAAAAGCCTCATCTTACAGTACTGTCCCATAGGCATCCTCCTTGCCTGGACTCACTATATTCAACATCTGCTCTCATAGGGTAATAGGCACTGAATATTAAAGAGGAAATATCATCTACTGCAAACTCACAAGGGATAAAGGACTTGTTCTTCCCTAACCTGGGAAGCCTGGTAATGGGGAGACATGAATAAGTAAGCAAAGACTCTTTGTCTCTTTCCCCCATTGACAGTGAAGTCTAATTTGCTCAACTCTTTTCTAGAAATGGCACACAATCCCTGGCTCTTGAATCTCCATCCACTACCCTTACACCCAAAGCAGTCAGAGCCTAATAAATGTTTATGGATAGAATAGATGTTTGAACACAAAAGAGTCTATCTATTGGCAGATCAATTAAAATGAGTTGCACATAGTATAGCTGTTTGAAAATAAGAACATCTGTGTTCTTAAGAGTTTTGCAAATTATGAAAGTAATTCAAGTATAGTGAGTGTTGAGTTTTGTGGTAGTTTAAAAGAAAGTGGCCCCCATACACCCACAGGGACTGGCACTATTAAAGGGTGTGGCCTTATTGAAGTCGGTATGACCTTGTTGGAGGAAGTGTGTCAATGTGGACAGGCTTTGAGATCTCAGATGCTCTAGCTGTGCTCTGTGGCAAGTCTCTTCCTGCTACCTGAGGATCCAGATGTAGAGTTCTCATGACTGCCTGCATGCCATGCTTCCCACTATGATGATAATTGACTAAACCTCTGAAACTATAAGCCAGCCCAAATTAAATGTTTTCCTTTATAGGAGTTGCCGTGGTCTTGGTGTCTCTTCACAGCAGCAGAAACAGGCTTATTCCATATAAATGGGGCTGGCGATAGTATTACTGGAAGAAAGAGGCTTATAGCATTAGTACAATTTACATAGGGTGAAAGCCTCAAGTAACTGATATTCATTTTCTTGTCAATTAGCATTACACTCTTACAACAGCCACTTAACATTCTCCCCAATTCAGGTAGTTCAAGGAGGGCCTGTTTCTGAATCCATGCAATGGATGAGGTATTGGTCTATAGCAAGAGACATATTAGAGAAAACAGCACAAAAAAGAACAATGTTCTCAGCATGGCCAAAAAAGAAAGCTATGTTCTTGGTTGTCCATCATTCATGCTCCACTGGGCCTGCAAAGCTTGCTGTTACATCCTGCCTCAGGGATGAGTCACTTGGCTATTTTCCTTAACAATCTTCTGTTCAGAATCATTCCAACCTCTTACCACAAATTATTTAAATTGCACTTTCCATTTCTTAGATGAGTGTGCAGGTAAGACTTCCTAATCTTATTTCCTTTTGCTCACTATCATGTTGGTTTAAATGTGCAACAAAGCTCTTGGGGACTTTTCCTCTAATGCTTTCATAAGCTTGGACAAAATGATCTGGCCAAGCACACTCACCTAGAATAATCCGATCTTCACTAACTTACTTATTCTGTTAGAAAGAGAATGATCATGCCTCTGCAGCTTCACATTACAGGGGCTTAAGGTGTGCCTTGGAAACATTCTAGAAGCTTGTAGAGACACTAACAATTTTAGCTTGACTGCCTAACAAACAGACTCACTTCGGGGAGTTTTCTTTTAGTCCATCTCAGAAAGATATTGCAGATGTGGGCAAACTAAAGCAGTGAGTCTACTGAATATGCATCTACTAATCCAGCCCAGCTCTACACAAGCCCTCCAGTGTGCTCACAGAGCATGCTGGCACCACCCGAGAAGCAACAGTGAAAAGCAAGGAGGTTTCGTATCCACCTCAAAATAGCCCACTGTCCTTAGACCTGTGGAATCTCTCCAAGTCTTATAGTATCAGAAACATCCAAGAAAATGTGAACAAAAAGAGTATTTGCTGGTAGCAGTAGTAGAATGGGCTAATATATCACAGGTCAGAATACCACAGTAAATAAAATTGAAGTTCTCCAGTAAGGGTGTTAATAAGACAATATTCAAATATATCATATGTGCTTATATGTATGTATGTATGTATGTATGTATGTATTACACAGTTGACACAATGTGTGTGACTCTGTGTGTGCGTGTGTATGTGTGTCTCTGTGTACACATGTGTGTGTATGTGTGTGTGTCTGTGTAAGTCTGTGTCCATCTGTTTCGTCTCTCTCTGTGTCTGTGTGTGTGTCTGTATGTGTTTGTCTATCTGTCTCTGTGTATGTCTGTGTGTGTGTATACCTGTGTATGTGTCTGTGTGTGTGTCTGTCTGTCTCTCTGTCTCTCTTCTCTCTCTCTCTCTCTCTCTCTCTCTCTCTCTCTCTGTATGTATGTGTCTGTCTGTCTATCTGCCTGTCTGTCTCTCTCTGTGTATGTGTCTCTGTGTATGTGTCTGTGTGTGGGTGTCTGTGTGGGTATCTGTGTGTGTGTGTGTGTGTCTGTGTGTTTGTCTGTATGTGTGTGACTCTGTGTGTGTGTCTGTCTGTCTCTTGCTGTGTGTGTGTGCATGTGTATGCATGTGTGCATGTGTGCCTCTGTGTGTATGTGTGTGTGTGTGTGTGTGTGTGTGTGTACCTTGAGTTCAGTGACTTAAGTGGATCCATAGCCATGGTGGCTGGGTAGCTAACATAGTGCTTCTTAGGTAGCCAAACACCACTGAGGCTGAGAATTAGAGGCGATAGCTCATCTGCTAGCGGAGCAACTGCTCAGAAAGACCTACACCGGCACATCAGAATGAGATGTGGGGAAGCAAAGGCAGTCCAAAAGCCCCTCACCAACCAGCAGCTTCTGACTCTAAGCAAAGGATGCCAGTCCGGCAAGAACACTGAGAAACAGTGAGGTTGTTACAGCAGAGAACCAGATGGGTCTTGGTTCTGATCACCTTTAAACAGAAACCATCTCAAAGTCCTTAAAGAAAGAGCTAATGTTTAAAATGTGTTAGTCCTGAGACACAAAGAACTTTCCACATGAGTATGTGCCAAAATCTAATCTTTCCCACACTGTGACTGTAGAGTCAACCTGTCTGTGCTAGCAGGGATGTTCTATGGCATGCCTGAACTGTGCAAGTCAAATAGGACCTCACACTCAGAAAGGTCCTGCAGAGAGGAAAATATAAGTCTTTGTGCATAAGGATAAGCACTGGGGAAGCCAGGAAAGGCTAGTTTATCTCTTCAATGCAATGAGGGACCTAGCTGTTCCTCCTGGAATGCTGGGAATGGATGTAGTTTACAACCTGGTGATCTTTTGCTGTCTGGTGAGCCAGGCCCTGAATTTATCTCTTACAATTTATGCTTTACATAAATCTTGAGCATTACTTCTAGTCCATAAAACTCATCCTTTTATGAGTGATGTCACTTGAACTTTACAACTAGGTGACTTCTATGTTATCTTAGGGCCAGCACAATCCTGACACCCATAGGCATTATGTTTGCCTCAGTTTTTCTCCCTGGACCTTAATCTTGGGCACTGTATCTTCATCAGCATACCCATCTTTGAGAAAAAAACAGATGTACATTGTAAAGAATAGCAATGTAAACATGTCTCAAATTTGTTGTGTGCTTGGTACTGAGTAAATTGTTATCAGAAAACTTTTTTCCAAAATTGTACTGTGCTTAAATACGGCCAAAGTAAATGATCCGGTGTCAGACTCTTGAAGTCTTGGCCCAGAACTAGTTACCTAGATAAGATTGGTTGAGTTTCATTCTTCCCTCACCCATATCGTTTCCTTGACAGCTGTAAACCTGAAGGGACCTTCCTCAGTCCTGTGCTTGGTTAAATGTTCTGATGCTTCCATGTTGATATTCTTAATTACTTTTTAATAATATGCCATGTTTTCCATTTTGCACCAAGCCCTTGCTGGTCCCGGTAAATGGCACTCCGTGATAACACTTGACTCCACTGCTTACTTATTGTGGCATGATAGGTAAGTTGTTTAACTTTTCCAGGCCTCATTCTTGTCATTTAGTAATAATGTAATCATTTCCTGCCTTTCCGGAACTGATATTTTGTGGAAAAGCATCTACATTCAGGAGTAAATGTCAACCTCCAGCTTACAAATCTAGTTCCTATGGATCTACCAGCAGAGGCAATAATCAAAGGCAAGGGGAACTTCTATCAGAAGTAGATATGAAGAAATAAACAGGTGCAAGGCACCCTTGATCCAAACCAGTCTTCCTTCTCGTCTGGCTACTGGTTTGTAGAGGTTCCTACAAACCAGTCTTCCTTCTCGTCTGGCTACTGGTTTGTAAAGGTTCCTACATGTGTTTACTTTGCTGCATCGCTGGTCCTAGATGCCCATAGGAGACTAGTTTCAGGAGCCCCTGCAGATGACAGAGTTCATGGATATTTCATCCTCTTATGTAAACACCAAATTTGCATATAAACCTAAACACTTCCTTCCGTATAATCTAAACTACTTACCATACCTAATGAAATGTAAACGACATGTAAATTGCTGCTAGACTGTATTGTTTAAGGGATGATGAAATGGAAAAAACAGTCCAGTGTGCATACATCTTTTTCATTTGAATATTTTCAATCCATAATTGGTTGATTCTATGATATGATATGATATTATATCAGATACAGAGGGCTAATTGTACAAGCATAATCTCTGTATATATCAGCACACAAAAGGTTCTTTTAAAAAGTGTATTGACCATTCCTACACACATAACTCCATGCTGCTCATAAGAGTCTTCCTGGAAAATGATTTGACAAGTCCTGAAACGCTCTGTGCCCTTTGACAGAGCAACTTCTTTGGACCTTTTCCAAGGAACCAACCAACTTCCTGCATAGAGGTTTTCACTGTGGTGTTAAGAGGGTCACAACAGTAGAAACTTCTTAATCCTTCCACAACATGTGACTACAGTATAGAGAGTGAGCCCAAGGGGGCCATCAAAAATGGGCTTTGCAAAGAACTCCAAAGCTCCAACATTGCTAATAAGGGAAATGTGAACAAGATTAGCCTGGAAACTATATGACCTGGAGCAAGCAGACCAGGATATGAACTGCACAGTTAATGAGATAAAGCTTCCTGGAATAATTGTGCCACTTCCCTGACTCCTGGAGAATGGGAAACTTCTTAGGGACAGCTGAAGAATGACCAGCCCTGAGATTACTTGCAAGCCTCCTTGAGAGCCTTAGAATTAACTTACCATAAGTACTTGGCTTTTTGAAATTTGGCAATTTGTTTTCTCACCTCGTTCCTTCTTACATTGTATCAAGTTACTTTTTTAAACTTCTCTAGCTGTATGGCTTTATAAAACCCTCTACTCTGGAATTAAATTTACTCAATTAAATAGTACTCAACTTACAATTTTTAGTTAAGAGAGACGGAAAAGTGACATTTTCTAAGTTGCATAGAACAAGAACCCAGCCTGCTGTAGACTTTGAGTGGCAGGTAACATTTTTGTTCGTTTTTGTTTGCATACTTGCTTTGTGGTGGTTGCCTATTGGTAGACAATCTTTATGATTTTGATTAAAGGAACTGATCCTATACACAATTGGTCAGACACAGTGGCCAGCCTTTTTCTGCAGAGGGAACAGCCTCTCAAATAGCCAAGACAAGAACACATGAATCTAGAGGCTCATCCAACAGGACAACTCATGTGACCCAAAGATGGCAGCTATAGTGGCCAGAGCAGTCAGGCACTGGTTGTGGGGTCAAAGGATACTTATGACCCCTCCAGGAACTCTTTTCTATCTATGCACATTTATTAGGAATGTTTAGATTATAGAAAATCCAATGCTGACTAGCTTAAGCCTAAACAATGAGAAATCTCACTGACTCTGAAAAAAAACAAGAAATTTAATATGTTTCTTAGTATTTTTTGCAAGTAGCTCCATTCAGAGCTCACAGGACATGACTAGGATCCACTTACCCCTAGCCCTTTCCTTACTCCAATAGTGTTAGCTCAACTCTAGACAGAGTAACCTACCAAGGGAAGACAACAAGGGGCAATGCAGGGACTTGGCTCTTCCTTCCCCAGGTTTACCATCAGTAAGAAAATGAGGAAGACATTCCCTCCAAAGTTCAAGCAAAATCCCAAGAAGTTCTTGTCGGCCATCTTTAAACTGATAACTCTGGCCATGGACTGAATGTCATTCTTCTCCAGAGTGAGAAAGTCATGAGTGAGAAAGTGGGGGTCATGAGTTGTTAAGGGAGAGTATATATATTGTTGTTAAGACAAAGATGAACTTTAAAAAAATGTGTGAATGCTGGATAGCTGGTAAACCAAGTAAGTGTCAATGAATACCATTAGTACTTTGCTGAAAATCCTACCAATACTTCAGAGCCCAGCATAGATATTGCTCTTTTAATGAATCAAACAAAGCCCTGATTTAGTAATTTCATACAACAAGGAAATGATAGGTTTTTTTCAATCAATTATATGTGATACCCCTTAATAGCTCATGGATCCAATACTAGCACTTCAGAGTATTTTCCAAAGTATACCTTTTGAAATGGTCAAGACTTTCTCAACTTTAATTATTTTACAAATCCTTTAAAAATGCATGATGCCTTTCTTCATTCTAATAACCAGACTGTCAAACACATTCTAACATGATTCATTCTTATCTGATGGATGACTGTAATATTCTTGAGTTGGCTGAGGTTCATAGCACATGAGGGTCCAGGCTACATGCTTTTCTCCATTGGATGTACTGAATCTGTGAATTCCAATGGCCTAACCTGATCCAAAGGTCACAGAGGCTTCTAGGTGCAGACCTACATGTATAATAGACACTTCTACATGTATAATAGACACTTGCAACTCTGACCAGTAGATGATGTTAATGAATTTAAGCATTGCAAATATAAAATAGCTTGTCATTTAATTAGATTAAGAGGGTTGGTGGTTAATTTTTGGTGTGTACTTGACTGGGTTATGAATACCTAGAAAACTGGTAAAGTGTTATTACTGGATATGTCTATAAAAATGTATCTAGATGTTTACACAGGGTATCACCCAGTGAGCTGATGTACTAAGTGTGAAAGATCAATCCAAAATGTGGACAGGATCACTGACTGAGGGCTTGTATAGAACAAAAAGGGGAAGGCATAAAAAAGATCTCAATCTCTCTCTCTCTCTCTCTCTCTCTCTCTCTCTCTCTCTCTCTCTCTCTCTCTCTCTCTCTCTCTCTCTCTCTCTGCCTGTCTCCTCTTCCCACATAGTCATACACAGCTCAGATACATTTTGCTTCTCCTACCCTTCAACATCAGAACTCCAACCTCTCTGGCCTGTAGTCACCAGATAATTCCACTGGCCTTGTGGATTTTCAGCTCTTTGACCTCAGTCTGAGAGTTATACCATCAACATCCCTGCATCTGAAACCTTTGAACTCAGACTAAACCATCCAAAAGCACTCCATGGCTTCCACTGTAAGTAGCCTGCCAAATAGACCTGCCGTGGGCTCATGGTTGCAGAAGCCAATTCCACTGCCCCATGTCTATGTACAAACCCTCTCAGTTCTGCTTCCCTGAAGACCTCGACTGACACAAGTCTCAGTAAGAATGACAATCTCCTTCATTCTGAATGTTTGTGTCACATATAACCTTCTTGATTCCACTAGTGTACAAGAGCATAGACCTTATGATTAGATGTGAACACATAAACAAAGACAAAAATGTACGCCTCTAGAACAACCTTTAGCCTCTAAAACATGCACCAATAAAAAATGGACTGCTCACACTATAAACTAAAGTTAAGAGTTTTCAAAAGGAGAAACTAGGCCTCAGAGAGAATCAGAGTAGAAATTCCTTCCAGAAGGTTAAAGCCATCTGACGGTCTCCCCCTGCCACCATCTCTGTGTTCTAGGATCACAGATGTGCCCCCTCACCTCCAGATTCTCCAAGAGCCATTCTTAACTTCTGAAGGTGATTTCTAGTCAAACAAGTGAGGATAGGGAACTAATGTCATCTAATGATTAATAAACTAATAAAAAGAGGAGATACACCAACGCTGACACTAGTTTAACATAGAGCAAGTGTGAAGATGCGGTTGTGCAATCAGAATGTAAATTGCATACTCTTGTCTCTTATGCAGAATGAGTGATGCTTGGAACATGGAGGGAAAGGAAACTGAGATGCTGGACACGTTTACTGCCTTACTACGTGGACTAGGTAAGAGCTCACGGTTATTACTTAAAGCTGACAAAACACACAATAGAAGTCATACTTATCATTTTAAGGCAAACATTGAAGAGATGGTGCCAGATAAAATCGTGTGGTGGAGAAGGATCGGAAAGGAAAATGTCATCCCTCATAATCAAAATCAATGTGTATGAGCTAAGGACTAGAACATCAAAGTTTTTATGTATTATTATAATTATCAAGTAACCCCTAAGACAAAACCCCACAGCATCTGAGTATCAGAAAATAGAAAAAAATAAATGCATAAAATAAGCCTGACTCTGTCACAGGATAGCAGTAGTGATGGCTTATATGAGGGTAAACTGCAAAGAGCATGTGTAAGAGTCAGCTTCAGGCAAATGCCCAGGTTTTTTGTAATTAGGGAGATAGAAACAAAGGAAGTGGAGCCCCCTGCAAGTGGAATGGGAAGGAAGGAAGAGACCAAGGCTTCTGCTTGTTTGCACAGTGGGAAGTTGAAAAACAGTCCCCCAAACTGAAAATTCTGGAAGTAGCAATACCAGTTTGACTTTTAAAAACCCAGAGGTGGGTATCGAAACCATCAGACAATAAGAGGGAAGCTCTTTTCTCTGGAACAATAAAAAATCAAAAAGGGGTGTTTTTCCCCCATACCCAACTTTGAACACTTTAATACCACGATATATGATCCTACCAGGAAGCACGATCTTTAAAATGCAATCTGAACACAACAGAACAACCCGAGTTCAGTTGGTCGTTCCATGCAGTCTACTTTTGCTTGGCATTAGGTTCCTGCAGTTGAAATGCTTTTCATTCTCAAATCTCCACCATGCTTTGGTGCTTACAGAAAGCAGCCACAACAGCTGTGATCACTTGACCAAGTTGGGAGAACCTGGTCCCACATCTTAAGACAACAAGTTTTGTCTAACCCTTTCTCAGAAGGGCCTGCAGAGGGAAAACAAATACATTAATAAATGGACAGATACCTATGGTGGTGATGACAGTTCCGGCAAAGAAAAAGGCACTTCCGAGGTCCCAGTGACTGTTGCTGTTGGAAGAGTTTCCTACCGGGCTGACCCCTGCGTTGTCAGCATCGAGGGCATGCTGCGAAGAGAGGGAAAAGGCCAAAGAACAGGTTAGAAGGAATCTTTTTAAAGCTTCAGATAAACTGCTGTAGTGCTCAAGAACCTGCGAGGATCTAGACACCACCGGGGAAGCAGAAGAAAGTACATGCATCAAGTGTCATTCCATACACCCATGAAAATCAGACCTTTAAGTGGGAGAACAATTTAAAATTTAAAGCAGTTACATAAAACTTCATATAAATGTATAGAAAACTCACAGGCGTAAGTGACTTCAATTATACAAAAAGAATACCTGCTGCTGGGTGTGCAGAGAGGTCTAGCAGAGTGTTCACCCAGAGTGGTCGTTTCTGCAAAGGCAGGTTATAGGTCTCTTTTTCACTTGCCTTCTTGCTGTATTCCCAAAATTCTATACACTGAATTTCTTCCAATATAAAAAGGAGTTTAAAACTCAGGCAGCAGGTCAGACCGGCATGGTTCTGCCTGTTATTAATACCAGAATAGTAGGTACTTTCTCTCAACCTCTCTAAGCCTAGTTAACTTCTTTGCAAATTGCAGGAGAGACCTTGCCTTGCACAGCTATGGCGATTTAATGAGGTAGTCCGTTGAATATTCTTAGCCCATGCCTGTCTCTATTAGGATTTACCAAAGACAGCTGTGCGACTCAGGGACCCTGTTGTCCAGTGTATAAGCATCATAAAGTGGACCAAGAGAAACAAAAATCACCGTGATATCAATAAGTTTACTGGGGCCACCATCATGCAGGTGGTCTATTTTTGGCTGAACTGTTATGCGGTGCATGGCCGTAGCTTCAGTTCCATAAGCACATGCTCAGCCTCACACACAAATACTACTTTTTTTTTTTTACTTTATTTTCCAGTTTAAATTTAGATAAGAAACAAGGTTGCTTCACAAGTCAGTTCCAGGTCCCTCTCCCTTTCCCTCCCCTCCTCCCGTGCCCTCCCCCATCCCATCCCCCCCCCGTTATCCCCTCATTCCCCCAGGGAGGGTGAGGCCCTCCATGGGGGTGTCCATAGTCTGTCATTTCATATAGGGCAGGGCCTATACCCTTCCCCAAGTGTTCAGGGTGAGAGTGCACCTCACATTGTTCTATGGGAGTCCAAAGTCCGTGTGTATTCTTGGGATGGGTACTGATCTGCTGCCCAAGGCTCAATAGATTACCTAGGCCTCCTCACTGACACCCAGATTCAGGGGGTCTTGATCAGTCCCATGCTGGATTCCCAGGCTGATGACCTTTGTCTGGTCAGCTGTTTCTGGGGGTTAAACCAGCCCAGTCTTAATCCCTTTGATCATCAGTCCTCCCTCTCTGTTACTGGCTTTCTTGAGTTCAGCTCAGTACTTAACCGAGAGAATCTGCCTCTTCTTCGATCAGCCACTAAATGAAGTTTCTGTTTCCCAGACTCTCTGGCCATAGGATTGTAGGCTGGCACTCCCCAGATCTATGTCTAAAATCCATATATGAGAGAGTACATGCCATGTTTCTCTTTTAGTGACTGGGTTACCTCACCGTTGACATTTGGTTTGGGGGAAGGGATGTTCAGGTACCACAGTGCACATGTGGAGGGTGCCCAGAGAACAGCTTGAGGGAGCCAGGTCTCTCCTTCCAGCATGCTGCTTCTGCTGGGGGAACTCAGGTCATCGGGAGTGGCAGGCACCCCCTATTGCCCCAGGAGTCCTGCCCTCTTCTCTTAGTCAGCCTGAATGACTCCTCAGTGAGCACTGGAATCCCACACTCTATCTCAGTATTACTGCAGCATTCTCTACAATGGTGGCCAACACTCATCTCCCTGCAATGGAAATCTCCCAGGTCCAAGGGATGCTCCCTCACTCCCTCGCGTTTTTGAGTACACTCTCCCACAAACTCTGCCCAGAGAGTAGATCAGGCCCCCTTCCCCTCCAAAGTCTCAATCTATGCATTACAGTTCCACAATTGCCCCCCTTCCCCGGCTTGTGTTTGTGCACCAGTTCCACAGACCCCTAAAATTCATCCCGAGCTTCAGCATGAGCAGAAGAAGATAAGCCCTCTCAGGGGCCCATTCCTGAGCTGGTCCTGCCATCCTGCTTCAGGTGGGGTGCAGAACGAGTTGCTATCATGCACTCAGGCACCTGCAGTCCACAGGCGTGAGCTATAATGATAGGCCTTCCACCCAGGAGCTTCAAGGAGGAGGGGACAGGGGAACGAGCTATTTAGAAAGATTGAGACTCCATATCCTGGGTAACATTGGAATTACCCAGTGGAGAGAGGGCAAGGCACAAACAATAAACCACATTTCTATTAGTCCTCAATGGTGCCCACTAATCTTGGCTCAGACAGGCACATAGTCATTGTCACAAATCAGAGGACAACTGGAAAGTCCCTATGCTCTTCAGTATGAATGCTTAATAAGATCACTCAAGCTTTCTAGGACAGAGATAAGTGACCTGTTGTATAAACTGCTGCCACACAGTGAATATTTTATTTAGCCTTGGCATACTACATGGAGTTACTGTTGCTTATTTTTTTTCTTTCTGTTTTTTTGTAAATAACTGCTTAAATATGCAAAAATGTCTTTCCTACTTCAGAAGTGGTATGAAAACAAGCTGTTGAATAGATTTTGCATGCAAATAAGACTGACTAGGTGGCAGGGTAAAGACATTCTCTGTTTGTCTTTAGTCTAATCCTACTTGCCTCTAGGAATACCAAGCACTATGAAGGGTAAAGCTAGCTATGGCTTCTAACATAAACGCCAGCACCCCAGCATATAACAGCAGATGCATGCGATGTGCACAGATGTTCTTGCCAATGGCTTGAATCACCTTCAGGTGACAGGATTACTTATTAACCCAGCACTACATTCTGATCTACTGCGCACTGGCACACGTACGTACGGGTGTGTATGTATGTGTGGAGGCCAAAGGTCACCATTGGGTGTCACCCTCTATCACTCACCAGCTTTTTTTGAAACAGGATCTCTCACTGAGTCTGGAGCTCACCAACTGTCTAGACTGGCTGGCCAGCAAGCTCTGGGATCTACCTGTCTCTCCCTCCTCAGCATAGACATTCCCTATGCATGCCATCCCACCTGGTGGTTATGTGGAGGCTGTGATCCTCAAATTGCATAGCAGACTCTCTGCCAACTAAGCCAGCTCCCTAGCCTCTACTCTGCTTTTGAGGGAGACAGGTGGGGAGTGCTTGCCAGTGCTGTGTGAGAGCTATCCAAATAGATTATCTTAACCAAGGGTTATATCCACCCTCATTATCTATCCGCCTTTGATAGTTCCACTCACGAATTATACCTCCAGGACAGTTGCAGGCCTCAGTCACTCGGGCCTCAAACCACACCACCAATACCTAATAATTTGCATCTTCCATAAAACTTGAAGGAGCGTTTATGTTCAGTCAGCTTTCACAGTGCTGAGAATTACACACAAACATCATAAATAAACCCAGCACCAAATACAGAATACAGATTTGCAAGAAAGACAAATGGGAGTGATTATTGTTACATCAAAAGATCTGAGGTAAGATGCCATTTCAAGTTTCACTTTTTTTGAATAATGCAATTAATGAATATTTAATGTTTTTGCATTGTAACCCTCAAAGGAAGTTTATCAACTGAAAGGAAAGGAAACTAACACTCATGAAGCACCTGCATTGAGCCAGGTACATAAGAAGTACCACTAAGTCTATTTTTTCCCCAAACCCAAGAAGATAGCATCATTCCCACTTCAGCGATGCTGCAACAGTCGTGGGAAAGTTGAGTAATACATCTGAAGTCAGAAAGCCAGGAAATAGAGAAGCCTTGACCCAAACACTGTCTAACCCAAAGTGGATAGTTTTGCTCAATTCTCTACACAGAATGCCCAGAATGCACTCCACTTCTGCTTCCATCCTTATATACATGAAGATGAAGCATGGCCACTGTCCTAGAATGTAGGCAGAAGGGATGTCTCAGCAGTCAGTAGCTTGGGTACTTGCAACAAGCACCTCCAACTATAGCCAACTCTGACTGGTTTCATATCTGTGAAGTAAACTTCCTTCTTTCCCCTAAATCATATATAAAGTGGCCAGTGTACCAAATGCCCAGGGAAGCAGTTCTATGGAGATTCTATATAAGGGTTGCTTTGGGTACCATGGCCCCACAGATGACCTGAACTAAACCACTAGGAGCAAGACTTGGAAGTAGAAAGAAGGTGAAAATATGCTTTCCAATGAGGCCCCAAACTATTGGTAAGGCTTTATGCACCTGATTCTGTCTAAAATTAAAATGACTGTCCAGGCAGTGGTGGCATACACCTTTAATCCCAGAGTTCAAGAGGCAGAGATGGGTGGATTTCTGTGAGTTCAAGGCCAGCCTTGTCTACAAAGACAGTTCCAGGAGAGCAAAGGCTACACAGGAAACCCTGTCTTCAAAAACAAAACAAAACAAAGCAAAAATTATAAATAAATAAATTAAAATGACCGATAAACCTGGTTATAACTGTTATCACTTGAATTTGGAGGATAAATTCTTAAAATTGTAACTGATAAATAAAACGCTGTATTTCTGAAGTACCATGTAATGTTGCTTTGGTATATACTATACATTGTTTAGTGTTCAAATACAGTAAACATATTTATACCTCCAAACAATTATCATTTACTTTTAGTGAAACTACTTAAAATTTATCTAGTGTTTTAAAATTATGTACTTTAGGGACACTGCTTTAACTCAATGGCAGTAATTCTAAGTAAGTCTATGGTTTTAACATTAATTTGTATTTAAAATTAAATTTATTTAAAATTAACTTTGTTAATTTTTAAAGCATTGTCCAATGATTTTAATGGTTTGAACACATGTGAACATTTTATAATTAAATGAATTTTCTTTAGCTTTAATTATCTTTCTATTCATGCTACAAAAGTCAAGCTAAAGCTGGGTATGGGGGTATATGCCTTTAATCCCAGAACATAGGAAACTGAGGCAGGAAGATCAGAAGTTCAAGGCTACATACAGAGCTCTAGGCCAACCTGGGCTTCGT